AGTGCGCATTATGAATTATGAAACGTGATGTCAAATTTAATTTTCAACTAAAATCCTTACTACTATTACTTCATTAAAAGTATATACAATATTTATATTTATCTATAGAATATATATAGAATATATATATTTATCTATATATAAAAATTTCATATACTCATGTATTCATATATTTATTTAATGACTAAAAATATTTAAAAAAAAAGATATTACCAATTAAACAAATTAATTAAACAACTTATTAACAAATATCGTAAAAGAAAAAAGTAGGAATTAAAAAGGGAAATAAATCTCTGATTTACAAAATCTCTTTTTTATTGATGCTTCGACAACATGGGCTGAGACACACACATTTGCTCATATGAATTTATACCACTGCGTGTTTCAACATATACATACACAATTTCGTTAAATTATCGCGCTGCTTAGATGTAATAAATAAATTAACTTAGAATTGTTTCATATTGTTTGATAATTGTTGAGAGAATATGAAAATTCGAATATTAATCATTTTTTAATTCTTTTTATAAATTATTTAATTCTATAAAACGTACAATTTATCACAAATATATTTGCAAATGTTTAATAAAATTATTTTATTTTGATATTAATCTTTCATTTAAATCAAATTGTTTTTTCAATCTTAATGAAAAAGGAAGAATTTATTCAATATAAAAGCAATAAAAATTTATGAATGAAACCTTGTTTCTTGAAATATTTTCTATTTTTTAATAATAAAAAAAAACATTTAAACAGTATGAATCATTATCATTTAATTATAAAGATATGTTGTTTTTGATAATTATTTTTTATGGCAAGTAATGAGACAAAGGGTACAATTCCTTTTTCGAGAAAATACAACGATGCAAAAAGTTATAAACCTAGATGTACAAGTGTCACGATAGCACGATTCTAATGAAGTGATTCTCTGTGCGCAATTGCGTGATACGATCAGATTTCGATAAGCTCCTTCGCACGATTAATCATCATTGAAATTATACTACACGAATAGTAATTTTTTTTGTCCAAAGTGAGAGAGCGAGAGAATCATTTATCCTCTTTTTTTTTTTTAATTTACTTTCGATATCAAACGTCTCGTTTGTGATGTGTGCTCGTTTCTTTCGTCATCTTTTCTTTCTTTTTTTTTTTTTTTTTTACGTCTTTCTTTCAATTTTTGCTTCTTTTTTTTTTTATTTTTTTCTTTGCAGCATCGAAATATGAAAAATTCATTTTCGACCATTCTATATGCATACATACATGCATACACACACTTACATATATGTATATACATATATATTCGAGGAGATCCACATGGGTCGCAAGAATAGGTTGACAGGATAGACTCTTCTAATAGACTTTGCAGACGGACATAATAGAAATATTTAATATATAGCATCATATATTAATATAATATTTAGTAATAATATAATATCTATTATATATTAATATGTATGATATTTTTTTTGTTTTTAATAATAGCGTTCTTTTTCTTCTCGCTTTGTTTGAGGTGTGATATCCAGCGATCTTTCCTTCTTTTTCTTTCTTTTTTTTTTCTTTTTTTTTAATTTTCTTACATTCAAATTTAATACGATGTAAGTACGATTTTCACTTCAGCCTTATTCGAATATACTATATAATCCTCATTGAATTATATCAGGCATTTTGTACGACCTGTCGACTCATACAACTATCGTCTGGTCGTTTCACAACGTATGCGTATTCTATCGTACGAAACGAAATATTAATTTCCTTTGAAATGATCTAAAAATGAAGATATGAATGATAAAAATAACGATATATTTATATAATATTATAATTTTATGTAACGATACGTTCTTACTATTAATTTAAGCATCTTGTTTCTATAAATATATTAAAATATGGGATAGATGTTGTACAAAACAATACAGAGAATATTACGAAAAAAAAAAAAAAAAACATTTTTACTTTTCTCTTTGATTCTTTAATAAAAGGATCAATGAAAATCGTAAGATTTATAACATTAAGGGACAAAGATATATAAGTTCGTTAAAGTTATCTAAGAAATTTACTAACGTTTGAGTATATAAATATCTCGAAGAAAACACCATTATAGCATAAACTTTTCTGGTTCTATCATTAGATTGTCTCACAAAAATCTTCTTCGTTTCACGATCAAACAGATTATATTTTACATTTGGTTAAAGGAAAATAGTAAACGTAATATATTCATTTTCAGTTTCGTTTATTAAAATTTTTAAATATTAAACATTATGAAACAATCTAATGTATCCACCCAACGTACAATAAATAGAATCTGATACGCTACAATTTATCGATACAAGTAAAACGGTTTAAGAGTTAATTTATTCAATGATTCCTAATAAAAGCCAATTATTAAAATAATATATAAAATTTGTGTAAACGCAACATTATCGAAAGACGCAAGGCAATGTAAAATAATTTACATTTACTGTTTCATAAAATATATTGTAATAATAGATATCTCAGTTGTACAAATAATAATCCAAAAGGAAAAATTATCGCAGAATTAATTTATAAGAAAATGAAATAATTATACTAATAATGTTAAAAGAATTAGAATTAATTAATCAAAATTGATAGAAAAGAAATTATACATGCTATATTAATTCAACATTAATCCTTAAGTTCTTAATTATCTGATATTAAAAAAAAAAAAAAAAAAAATCAATCTTAGCATACTTAAACGAGGAGATCTAAATCATGATAATCGAGAAATGAAAAATACGCATGGCTACACGCTAATAGTGAAAAATTGTCGAGGAACCTTGTTTTCAAGCGTGGATACCAGGATGGAAGCGAGACGCACAAATATGAAAAAAGAAAAAAGAAGAAAAAAAACAACAAAACGTATGGAAATTTCTACGCGTGGCACAAAAGTTTTTTCTACTCATTGCCGCAAGATTTTTTCTTTTTTTGTACAAAATTGTTTTTTTCGTATTTTCAGCAACGTCGCGAAACGATCTCCACGAACAAAGTTTATACAAGCGTATTACGAAGCTTGGAGGATCGTTCAGAGATTGATACACGCACACACATACGCACGCACGCATATACGCACAGACACATACACCGACGTTGTTTAAAAATTGTGCAGAGAAATGAAAGAAGGAAGGAAGGAAGGAAGGAAGGAAGGAAAGAGGAAAGGAAGGAAGGAAGGAAAGAGGGAAGGAAGAGGGAAGGAAGAAGAAAGGAAGAAGAAAGGAAGGAAGGAAGTAAGTAAGTAAGAAAGTTAGAAAAGGAACGAAGTAAAAGAGTGTGTCCCCGAGAGGCTGGGCTAAAATATTTTCACCTCGTGCTTTATACCGCTAGACTTCACGAATAATCGTTTATTATTATTATATTATATTTCCCTACATAACTACCATTCATCTTTGATATTTCTTTCGTCTCTCTCTTCTCCATCTCCTTCATATTATATAATTTCAAGAAAAATAACATCCGTACAAAATTGACTACAGCCGATTGCTTTTATATGATGTGTTTGAGTTCAAATCATTCCCGTGCAAAACGGAGAAATCAAAGTGTATACCCATCTATCTCTTTAACCCTTATTCACCTTTCCTCTTTTTAGAGTTTCCATTTTTTTTTTTTTCTTTTTTTTTATTAAGATATGACATGTATACGTATTGACCTGACCTTTTGATCCCGACCGACTCCTTCAACCCATTCGACACAAAGATTCGACGTTTATCGACGAACAGTTTTGCGTTACGACTGCGCGAAATCGTTTCGCCGATACACGATATATAACTTCTCCTTAAGTAAAACTTTATTACCACGCGAAAATAAAGTTCGGTTTGGCGAACTGTTATCTTGTCTGTCAAATCGATTCGCAATGGAAAAGCCAATTTTACTGTTTCTTTAGGGCCCGTAATATGGCAGGATACATAGGAACGGTTGATAGGATTATCGAACCAGGATTTAGTACCCGATTAATTAGCTTCAACCTGTCGATAGATAGATAGGTTATCGATGAAACAATCCTCTTCTCGAAATTTAATGATCGTCCCTTGCGATAACGAAACGTGGCCACAATTTCGGATTATATTTTTAATTCTTCTTTTTTATTTTTCGTTTTACTCTTGTTTTCAATCATGTCGAAGGGGTTAACATTGTAACGTTGGATCCGTTCGTTCGGGATCGCGTGGGAAAGTCTTGTCGAATTAAGAAAATATGCGGGGACATCTTCGTAATTAAGTTGCTACATTTTATACAGATATTTAACCGTTAGAATGTGCAGCTCGGTGCTTCTTAAGCGGAAACGTCGAGGAGCGTACACTGCCAGCTACGGAAGTACCTTACGAAGCATAGTGTGGTTATTGTGAAACACGGGCGTGCAGCGTATTCTCTGCACGCACGATGCCGATCCTCTTCATCTCGCGTGCGTGTCGAGCGGATGCAAAAGCAACGAAAATTTCGAAAAATATTAATTATACACGGGGAAAATTATTTCTGAATGCGTCTTCCTCGCCACGTTTTATTTTACACTTTTTTGAAAAATATTTAAATACAACAATGGATTTCATCCATCGGATAGTTCAAGATGTTATTAATTAATTCGAATAAATTAATTCGAAACGCGCTAACGAATGGAAGAAATTTACCCCCTATTGGTTAAAATACCTTCGTTAAAAGAAGGTATACGATACAATTTCTCCGTGTATAAGCATTCGATTTTCTTCGGGAATTCAAGTTACCTTTGCATCCCCGTTTAAAGGTGTTAATTGCTTTTGGTCCTTCTTGTACCTTTCGTAATTGATTTAACTGTTCTGTTCTGCATCTAATCCTCCCTATCGAGTGTTCGAGGCGTGCTCGCTCGAACGAGAAACGAAATAATTGTTGCTAAACCGCGTTATTTTGCAACCATCGTGCAAAAAAGAAATATACGTGGAAAATCTTAGACAACGATCTAAGAAATCTGTCGCGTATGAAGTTGATTGGACGTATTTAAGGTGCCTCGATACCCTCGATTTGAGTTTTTTTTTTTTTTTTTTTTTTTTTTATTTTTGAATTACATTGTAATCTCAATTCATATTTTCCTATCTGCTGGGATCGAAACTGTGTGGCAATGCCTCGCAATTCAAAGATTTCGCGTGGCATCCGGTCGGAGAGCTTAATAGAAATTGACGCTTTTGAGGGGTTATGCTCTCTCTCTCTCTTTTTTTCTTCTCCTTATCCTTCTTCTCCTTTACTTCTTTACTTTTAATCTTATTAGGCCATAAAGCGTCGTCTTCGAGACGAGCTCTACATCGAGTTCTTAATCCGGCCGGAGATAGTCCGTGGCTCTGTGACTAGACACACGTTCCTTACGTAACAACTTCCGTCCAACGCGCGATAGGAACGACGATTCTCAGGAACTCAGATCGTGACAATGTATCTCAACATCGTTCGATTCGCGTTTTGGATCGATTTGCGCTCGAAATTTCATCGAAACGCAACACCACGGGGAATAGGAAAAGCTAGAAACGTTCTATTTTTTTTCTTTTCTTTTCTTTTCTTTTTAATAATCGAATAATATATAAGCTCTCGATATCGTCCCGAGATCGAGTAGTCCACGAGACACGAGGGTGTGTTTGTGCAGACAGGAAGTTGTCACCGGAATGGAAATATCATCGTGAGGCGACTGATAGATTTCCTTTCGTTTAATATTTACAGTAAGCTGTCTATTTATTATTCGACGGTCTGACGCGACGATATAGTCTTTCTCATTCATTCACCTTTTCCTTGTTTTTTTTTTTGCTTTTGTATTTTCCTTAGCCTTTTCCTTTTTTTTTATATATATATATATATTTTTTTTTTTCATTTCTTTTTCTTTTTTTTTTCTTTTTACTTTTATCATTCCCTTTGGAGGGGAGAATTTTAATTAGTCGTTGATGAATGTCTGTACAAAAATGATGAATCCGTGTGATCGGTGTGTATAAATCGTACACGCGTAGACGTGATCAGCGTTCAAGGCGTATCAAGGCAGCCGCGGTTCAGCCTTAAACGCTGGGCAACGTGGACGTCGACCTTCTCTGGCTTGGCCAGCTTTTATTCATCGTGATGCATTTTCATATCCTAAGCGCTGGTCCACGAGGACCTGACCATCTAACGTCGGACGGCACGGATGTCTTTCAGGGGATGCACGAGTGCGTGTTGGTAGCCTGTCCCGGTGACGACAACGCCACGGAAAAGTCCGAGTCCAGGACCAGATCGCTGATGCATCCCACGATACCCTTTGCGTATCTTCCTCCCGTTGTCCTCACGATATCCGGCGCGCCACCTGTTAAAAACATTACCAAAAATTGTTATTTTTCAGAAAAATATGAAGAAAGTGGAATCAAATGGAAATTATTTGCGAATATAATTATAGTTTCTCTTTTTCCAAGGCTGACAATTTTTATTACTCCGTTCGAAACAAAGGGAAAATTCTTTTTTTCTGTAAAATTTCATGCGATTCGTGTTGTTCATATTGAAATAAAATGGCTAAAATTGAAAAAAGAAACTGTAAAAGATTTAAATTTTGATTTTGAAGTTTTAAAAAATAATTTAAGGGAAAGAATAATTGAAGCAATGAATTTAGGGAGTTGAGAGTAATTTTGAAAGATTTTGTATGTTTGATCATTAAGTTGATGGAACGTTGTAAATACAGCGTATTTGATGAATTAGAATACGCCTCTATAAATTTTCTGAGAGTACAGCGATGTATCAAGCTGTTTCTTTATGAGTTCAACAGCTTAGCGGAAGTTGCCGAGAATTCGTAACGCGCTCTCGAGGATGACCCACTTGGTAATTTCAGTAATAACTCAAGGACAGCTAAAGCTGGATGTATAAGTTGACGGTGTTGAAATTTACGAGTAGTTAATCTTTGATACTTGATGATTTTCAAACCGAAATATTCGAAAAACATTTTTTACAACTTTCCAAATATTCTGAAATATTCGACAATTTTTCAAAAGATAGATTTCAAGTTACAAAGACAGTTTAAAGCAAACAGATTGTAAGAAGAGATTTATTAAAAAGAATTGATAGAATATGAATTACGAAGAAAAAAAAAAAAGAAAGAAAAATACTTTAAAGAAATAAAAAAACTGAAATGTTATCTTTTACAGTTTATTTTACTAATAAATTCGCAAAAAAGCAATACTTCAAATTATCTTGAAAGTACCACAAATATCTATCTAGGCAAACCATGAGCAAATAAGTAGTATAACTCGATTATAATCAAACAGGCAGCATTGCAAACCAATAATTCAACAATTAACACAATCAATTAAGATAAAATAAATACAATAATCATGACTAATCAAATAGCACGAGTTAACAAATCAATGATGATAAGACAAATAAAATAGATTCGATCATAAACAAGTACAATATCGATCCAATGATGGTTAAACAAATAGAACAAACCAATCACGTTCAAACAAGTAGAAATCAATCACCAATCACGTCAGAAAAATGAGAGAAGATCAAATAATTATTTTTTATCGATTTAAATGCTTCACTTACCGACGTAAAGACCCGTGTCAGTGTTCAACTGTCTGAGCTGTCCAGGCGACGACGCGGAAACGCCTGTACCGCTGTCGACGACAAGCGACGCCCACTGTTCGTTCCTGGAAGGAACATCGATCGATTTCATCAAAAACATTGGAACTCGATTAAAAAGTTTTCGTTGTACAAAAAAAAAAAAAAAAAACAAACGATACACGGATGAGAAACTTTGTAAAGGTTGTTACCTCACTGCTCGGACCCGATGCCATAGATCATCGTCCAGTCTCGTCAAATTGTACCGCAGAACAGCCTCGCCCGAGCCAAGATTGTAAGCTAAAGTCAAATAGCCACGATCCAATCCGAGGGCTAGAAAATCGTCGTTCTCGTCCCTTTGCTCTTGCGGATCCGCTTGCCGCCCGCTCCAAAGCAGCAGCCCGCTACTGCTGCTCGCCCTGAATCTCATATTGATGTCCACCCTGTAGCTTATTATCCTGTAACAGACAGGATAATTTTTTTTTCGCGTTAAGAAGGATACGAATATTTCTCTCAGGGGAATATAGAAAGAAAGAGATTCCGAAGGAGCTTCTTCGTGGATTAATCAGGATTGAAACGAAGACTGTATTTTGGAGGGATTTCTCCTTGATTTGTACGTAAATTTTGATTAAAATAAATAAAATATATTGTTATATCGTTGAGATAATTAGTTTAAGATTTTTGATCAAGTTTTTATTCATCTTCAATAACGTTTCATACTAAAGTTTCAAAAATAAAATTTTATCAACGCACAATTAATAATGTTAAAAATGTTTAATGACTCTTATATATATATATATATCTCAACGATTTAACTTCAATTTCCTTTACACTAGTTTCTTTTACTCTGAAAAAAATTTGGAAATTTTACATTCCATCTTCCCATTCCCATCTCACCTCTTCATCGTGTCCGCGTCGTTGTAGTGGAGATAGCTCTCGCTGCCCGAGAAACTGGGCACGGATCTCTCGAACCGCGTGGCAGCGTTCGGTTTCGAGGGTGAGCTGTCCAAAATCGTGTTGTCGTCCGGCGCTGGACAGGGATGCGGCATGCCAGGTCGACAACGACACGTGAATCGGTCCCGAAGAGGACGGCACTCCGCGTCTCCGCACGGTCTCGCCTCGCACGCGTGCCCGCAATTGCCCACGTTCACCCCGCCCAAAGCCTCGGCCAGGATTCCGATCTGTGCAAACGTAATCGCTTTGTTAATGACGATTAACACGGCCGCGACAGCTTGTCACGAGGAATGATCCCCCGAACGTGGACGAACCGCAGTTCGGCCGCAACCACGATCGACCAAACCTGTGGGAATAATGACGATCTCGAAAAGTCTAGAGAATCTATGGATTTGTATTATCTATATTGGTAACGATCTTATACGTAGACCTGTACTATTTATCCAATATGTATAGAACATTTGTATAGAGCTTTATTTCTTTGGTTATTTCTGATGAAATTTACAACATGAAGTATATGTGAGTAAAATGGAAATGTATAAAGATATAAAATGAAGTATTTAAGTTATAATAACGAGTAAATTTTTATTCAAGTTATTTCTTTTCAATTATAAGATTAATTATATTATTATAATTGTTATAAGAATTATAAGAATTTCATAAATTGAACGAAATTTATAAATAATTTATGATTAATAAATTAATGATAATTTATGATTGAAATAATAATAATTAATAATTTATGATTTCAGATCATAATGATGACTACTAGATGGTTGATGTAGAAATGAAAAGGATACAGGAAGCGTTATAAATTTTTAAACTATTTGAGATTTGAAAAAGTATTCTGTCTCGTTTCAAAATTACGATTATATGATTTTTAATTCTCTTACTCTTGGTGAAAGAGGTACGTTGAAAGTAACATGGAACATATTAAGTTTCGTTAAAAATTTAAAAAAATATGTAAATCCCTATTTTAAACACGAATGTCGTTTGGTAATAACCAATTTTCCTTTTAAGATTTTAAAAGCTTTAGAAATTCAATCGATAGAAAAGAATCGAAATCATACACACAGACCTATACTCGCTTAATGGTTACGAACGTAGACCTATATTACTAACTCCAATGGCTGTACACTTAGGACTTATACAACTTGCGCAATGATTGTATACGTAGACCTATACTACTTATTCTATAGCTATACACTCAGCACTATTGTACTACTTGTCCATTCTATTCTACTTTCCTGACCAATTTCTAGCTTATACCACTTGCCTACTCAGAGAGACCATACTATTTCCTTGCTGCATCAGCATTGACCTGTTTTACTGACCAATCCAGTGATCAAACTCTCTTCCACGCCACTTATCCTATACAATTTCTGACTATGCTACTTCCTAAACAACGTCCATGATATCTAATTGCATTTCTCATTTATACCAAGATTGTTTAACTATTTATATTCTAATTCCATAATAATCCAGAAAATCCATTTAAAATATATCTTAATTTAATCCAATTATCCATTTTAGAACAATTTGGTTCAGGTTGAATATACAGTTTCAGGTTACGTGCTAACATGGACGTAAAATATATTCGTGAATTTATGAGCCGACGATAATTCTTGCGTGATAAACGCGAGCAGACGAATGTAATGAAAGAGCAAGCTGCGTCACAAGCCTCGATTTAATTCTCCTCCGAATTGCCGAGGGAGAGAGGTAAGTGCATAATGTGTACATTCGTATGGAGTAGAATATTGCTTATTTAAATTTTGCAGGAAAATCAATTAAAAGAAAAAACGAGGAGAAAGAGGAAGAAGTGTTCGATAAAGATGGAAAGGAGAGCGGTAAGGAAGAGATAAAGAAGATATATGAGAAACTAGAGAAAAAAGGTTAGATAAAAAAGGTAGATAGGATGATCAATATGGGAAGCAAAAAGAGAGAGAGAAAGAGGGAGAGAGAGAGAGATATTATAGAGAAGAGGAAAAGAGTGATAAAAATGGAGAAAAAAGGATGATAAAAAAGGAAAAAGGTGTGAGAGAAGAGGAATAGTGATTTCTCATTTTAGTTAGGAGGAAAGGAAAAAAAAAAAAGATGGAAGAAGAAACGGGGAAATAAATTAATAAATAAATGGGAGCGAGGAACAACGTATATCTTGCATGATGTGACTTAATAGAGCTTTTAACCTTTATTAACGTGCCGTATTTCCATTATTTTTAATGGCAAAACACGATGGCAAAGTTGGTGCGCGAGAACCTAACAGAAAAAAAAAAAAAAAAATTCATTATTTTTACGAGAAACGTTCCATAATGATCAAGATATTTCGTAATACTTCACATCCTCCTAGCCTGCTCCTTATCTAATAACATTTATTACTCCCGCAGAATTCCAATTTTCTAAATGCATCGCCCCATCATCTTGGAAGGCCTTTTGCCCTTATAAGAGCGCGTGCCGGCAAAGTTTCTTACCTCGCGACGATTCAAAATGACCGTCTGAACGCATCCCACGAAACTGGCGGTCGTTTTCATCTTCGGGGAATACATGTCAGTGGATGGCGCGCCGCCCAAGTAAAGATTTAACGGCAACGACAGTTGTGTGAAAGCGCCTGGCGCTAGGATTTCCTGCGGGGGGTCGTCCTCGACTTCGAGCGAGGCCAAACGTCCGGTTCTCGACACTCGAACCTCCACCCACTCTCCAAGACGAACAGGATTCTCGCTTCTGCAATTGTGAATCGTTTGAATTCCATTAACATGGTATGGTAACATGGAATGAAACGTGTCTTTCGATATAGAATTTTTCCTTTTGTTGCTTGCTAACGTATACGTATTACGAATTGTGCATGTATATTGACTTGACTTTGTCAATGTTCAATACTATTAGATTATTCGAGAATACAATTTTTAATAGGAAAGGAGGATGATTGGTGGCAATAATCAATTTGTTAATAAAAAAAATTGGAAACTATGCGTGATGTAGAATGTAAAAGGAATAAATATAAATAAAATAGGATCTGATTGATGAATGATATTCGTGGTTAGATTACATATGGATTATTAATTTTCTAGAGACTAAGATATTATATAGATGGCCTTTGATGCGATGCGATCGACTTCCCGATATTAACTAAAATCCCTCCCTTCTCGTGATCCAAGAATCCCCAATAGAAAAAGAGGAAGGATTTTGTGCTACTTAGAAAGGAAAAAACCAACATTTCGCTATGATGAAAATGTGACGCGACTGTAGAAGAATCTTTAGCGGAGGGAGAGGGAAGAAAAACCAGTCAGAATGGCCGCCGTAATTCCGATCAAACGTCGTGAATGGGAATGAAGTTTGCTCACGGATGATATTTCGATGGTTGAAGGGTACATCAAGGATCGTGAAGGGTGGAAAAGTCGCGTATTAAATCGGTCTCACGAGCCAAAGGCAGGGAAACTTTCTTTCTCAAGGAAAGAATCGAAATGTTGCGTAGCCTCTTAATGGGCGGAAGAGCAGCGTACTCATGAATATCGGGGATTTGAAGAGGGTGTGATCGATGAGTTTCTTACGCTTCTTTCGAGAATAATATTGTGACAGATTTGTGAATTATAATCATTGTTGATGCTTTCGTTATAAACGTATTATTTAACAATTTTGCGCAATGGCAAAAGAGATTTAATGAGAATTAATTTGGGGCAATTGATGATGAATAACGAGCCGTTCGCCATTAGATTAAGATAGCTAATTATAAAGCTGATATTATAATAATTTGCATTATTATAACATTATTGATACAAAATTTCAATAATATAAATTGTCATCGAATTTGATAATTAATTAATACGTTTATTCAATTAATATTCGAAAAAAATCTCACTATTCAAGACTTCAAGATTTCAAGTAAATAATACGAGTTAACATTAACACGATAAATTAATCGTGCAGTAAATTCTATGGTTTATTAATGTAATATTATCGTAACGTGTAACACGTGAAGAAATCTGATCATTTATAAGCAAAATTCACGGGTGAAGCTAATTTTCGGAGTAACATTGAAGCAGCTTGTTGCATTAGCGCCATTTTGCACCGTATAATTAATAATATTTATATTTGTCGTTGAATATTTATGTTTGCCAATTAATCCGATCGAAATATGTTTGCGTGTGTCGTTAAAAATAAAAAGTTCTCGCAACTCGTAAACATCATCGATCATAATTTCTATTTTATATATATATATATACATTAAATAAATGCCGTCTCTGAACAATTTTGCAAATTGGTAAAGAAAAAAACCAAATTTTGTATCCGATTGATTAATATCGATGGCTGATTAATATCGAGAGAGAGAGAGGATTTTGGACGTATATTATAAAGTAGTAAAGAAATAACGGCGTCAAGATTTATCCAGCTTGGCCACAACAAATGAAGTTTGCCTACGGATATTATTTCGTCGAGACGAAACGTTGTCGACAGCAAATAAAAAAAAGAAAATAAAAAAAAAAAAAAAAATTATTTATCGATCGGTTTCATAAAGCAGGTAAACACTCGTCCGCTTGCCTCCGTGAAACAGAATGATGTTTGATTTTCGCGAATCAATGTAAAAACACATGGCCGAGCCATGTATTCGGTTAAATGAATCGGGATTAATTAACGGGGGAAATATTTTTCCGTCGGGTAGAATCTCGAATTTCCATATCCATCGCCATTGTATCGACGAGAAACAACGTTCTGTTATTATATATTATAATTTAATTGTCGAAATGCTTGCAAAATGAAAGCTGTCCATTGTGTTTGTACGATGTACGCGCGTTCGCGTTCGAAATCGTTATGACAGTTCAATTTTTAATGAAATTTCAGTATATGAATATTTTACATTATGTATATTTTTTAATAAAATTAATTAAAACCTGGAATATTTTCTATCCCACCCTTATTTTCGAGATACACAAAGTTCTCCATTATGGTATTGAAAGAATCACGTATATGTATTTTCTTCATTCTAAAATAAAAACTTTTTTTTTCAGAATACAAGACATTATACAAATCCAAAATTAAATCGTTTTATAATTATCCTCCTTTGAACCCTCTTATGGCCACGTAGAAATATCGATCCAGTAAGAGAATATTCTAAATCATCTCCAATTCAATCCTCCTGATCTCGCCTAAGGATTTTCCACCAGGGTAAGAGAGTTAATTCCAGGTTAACGGAAACAACAAAAATGATAAGCTAACCGGGACCTGATTAGAATCTCTGATCCATGGAGGGGCGTGTTTGCGAGCACTGATTTTCCAGCATGAATATTCAGAGGTTTAATTCGCGATGAGGCCGATCGACATCGATACATCGTTAGCCGACGATGGGACGGATTAAACGATCGGTCGATTCTTTCGACACCAACATCGAGCTTGGTTAATCGATCTCATTGCGCATAAATTCGTTATATAACTACGTTACAAGCGACAAGATAATCATTCGATCGTTGCGCGATATACGAACGAGGAAAATAATCATGTACGTATAATATTTTATTTATTTTTCCCTTATTTTTCTTTTTCAAGTTTTCCTTTTACTCGTGGCTCCTCGATCGACTTTGATTGGTCACACTGGATTATTCGAAAGATAGATTCGAATCGAGGAACTGGAGGAGATTAAGAGAAATGGGGGAACGGAACCTTGAATATTTTAATTGCGTTGAAAGTCGGTTGAAAATGGATGGAAATAAATAATGGTTTTATTCCAGGTGTAAGAAATAACGAAGAAAGTAATTATTCGTGAAAAATAGTTTGGATATAAATGATATATCTTATTTTTTCACAAGAAGAATAAAGAGTATAAATAAAACAGCTTGTTAATTACTAATATTTTTCTCAAACAATATCATACTGATTGTTTTTAATTTTCAAGTATTAAAAACAAATACTGTAGCTAGTACATGTGCTTCCTCACATGAATAATGGACAAATAAATAATGAAACAAACAATAAGACAATAAAATAGCCAAGTAAGTAGAATAATGTTATGAACAAATTAATAGAATAAATTAAACGAATAAATTAGACAAATAGAACAAGATTATCATCAGATAGAATAAGAAAATGATAATCAGAAGTTTAATAATTTCAATAACTAATTACAAAAAAAAATTATTGAATATGTTTAACGTAATAGAAGGAAAAAAAGACCTAAATTTATTTCCTGGAAAGTCTATTAACTCGCCACTACTTCAACCACAAATCAAGCCACCGCCTTCAACAAATTAAAACACGCTTCCCCATCCAATCAAGCGGGAACGAGGCATCCATAACTGGTCGACCCACTTCCCTTTTTCACCTCGTGCACCAGTCCCCGATAAAATTACAATATCCGTTCATCCGTTGAAAACGTTCGATGAGGGGCAAGCATGAAAACGATTCAATTAGACACGGTTAGGATTGAAAGGAATCGTGCAGGAAATTGAAAGGAAAGGTTTGTACATATGTAAGGTGTGTATCTATATGTATCTATGTATCTACATGTTCGTATATACAGTATAATCATTTGTCAGAATTCTGAATCCATTTTTCCCGAATAGAAAAAGATAAACAATAATATAAAGGGCTGATTCTTTCTATTGAACTTCGTAAATCACGTGGATGTTTCCCCCGTTAACATTTTTATTGACGCGTGTATTGTGTTTTTATTAATTGCTTCAATATATCACAAAGCCCGTACACAACTGTTGCATTTTTTTGTTTTCAAGCTGAAACGCAACAGTTTAATCGTCTGGCTTTATTATTCATTGGTTTTGTGACAGACCTTGTTTCAACCAACAATTCCATCCGCATAATAATTAAAAAAAAATTAATCCATCAACAATTTTCCTCGCCAAAATATATAATAAGAAATCAAGTTTACATTCACGAAATTAATTCAATCAATCGGAAAGTTCAATCCAACTTAAATTTTCGTAAAAAATTTCACTCGAGTGAAATAAATGAAATTCGGATTCGAATTAAGGTTCGTATGCGAACGTTGGAATAAGATTTCACTCTTCGGAGAGCTTACCTCAAACTGGCTGGCCCTGTTCCCAGGTCAAAGGTAAACTGAACATGGCCGGACGACAAGTACAACGCGATGAAATCGCCGGTGGCGTCGCTGTGATGGCCATTGTAAAGTATAACTCCATCTGCGACAGTTGGTTTCAACGTGACAGCCAATTCCAGCCAGGATAGCGACGTGTCGGCCAATCCAGGGTAACGCAGATAAGAGGATCCATTGAACGAAGGTACCTGTAACCGGACAATTCATTCGCAATGGTTATTTCACGGACTTTCAACCCTAGGAGGAAATCTTTCCCCAAGAATCTGATCCTTTCAGAGAGAATCGTTGTTTTTCTTGTAAATGGAAGGGAAAAAAGAAATGTAAATGGCTAAGAAAATGACCGCTCGACCCTTTGTTCTTTGCCAAGCTTCGTTTATCTCCGAGTGTTTTAATTTCTTAATTATAACGATTACAATGATATAAATCTGTGAAGAAATTTAGAAATTAACGCTACAAGCATAATGTGTATTGTGCTAAAAAAAATTAAATGATATGATCATCTTTTGAAAAGCTTGATTATACGTTTAAGTGAGCTAATGTGATAAGTTTTCTTAAGAGTTATGAATTTATTATTTGCATTAATGAATGAAAGTTTAATGATAAAATATAAGAAGTTTGTGAATTTTGAAATTTATTTTAGAAAGCAAGTGTTATATAATTTGTGAAGAGAAGTATACGTGATGTATATTTACGTGTTAATAATGAGATACTAGATAAGAAGAATATAGAGGAAGAGATAAAGGACAAGATAGACTTAAATGGAGATGAAGATTAAGTAACAGTTAATTGACTATGAACAGACTGCAACAGGTAATTTCGTTAACTTGTTAGCTGAGAAAATCGAGTTGGCACGTTATTTGACTTGCCACTATTTAAATTTAGTAATTCATTTATCCAAGAATAATCTTTTTAAATAGGCTGTCATATATCACAAAATCGAACAAAATTTAAAAATGAACAAAATTAATTTCAAGTTAAATTTATTTATTACTCAACGCCAGAAGAGATTTTTCAACAATTATGATTTCGCAAGTCAGATTTTAAAATTTATTTATTATAATGCTTTTGAACAAATAAATATTTATCCAAACAAAAATTTATTTACAAAAGGAAAAAAAGATTTTTTTGACATTTCAAGAAACTTAAAATCCAAACAATTACTCAATGAACTTTGAACCCACCTAAATTTTTCTACTTCCTTTCTTAAACGATCATCTTTCTTTAAAAAGTCATTTTCCAAAGAAAATTTTCATTTTTCGGATTAACCTCTATCGTTTTCTCTATCATGAGGTGAGGAAAAACAACGTGCAAATCGTTCGATGGACGGGAAAAATCGAGGCTTCCAAGTATCGAAGTCAACCGACGATGTTATTTCCCATCGGTCCGGGCCCCCAATCGTTATTTTCCCCGTTATCTCTCCGTGTCAATTTTCGAAATGACGTGGTTACCGAACAGGAAGAAGGTTCACCGTGTAGGATACAGTAAATTAAACGTTGCACAGTCGTTACACACCCGCGTAAATCCCATCGGCGCGCCCACACATTGCGTTGCCACGGACTTGAAGAAATGGAACCTGAACACGCCGTTATAACGAGACCAGGGAACACGAAGAGATGTTCACGGGCTCCCGTGAAATTTACCTTCTTCTTGGGGAGGGATGAAGACGTCGATAAAAAGAAAAATTCGCTTACCAGGGATGCACGATTGTGGGTGTAAGGAGAGATGAAATTTTTTTTCCTAGATTTTTTTCTCTTACGTGGATTAATTGTGAGAATGAATGGTGGAGAGATTATGGAGGAATATGATGGAATATGAGAATTCGTGTAAAACTGTATATGAAATGTGGAGTTATACAGGGATGTGTGGAATTTGATCTTGATTGTTTATGATGAAATATTGTTTAATATTATTTAAAAGTTAAAAATATAATTAATAGAGAGAGAGAGAAAGAAAGTTTATTTTATGCGAATATAAATGTTCGTTACTTTTTGAATTTATTTTCTTCAAGTTTAATAGAATTTTATGAAAGAAACGTATGAATAATGGGTATAAATGAAGTTGTGATATGTCCATTACACACTTTGTTAACGTTCAATTTGTAATTTAGTTAACATTCAATTATAACGAATTTCATGTTGTTTAATAATTGATTGATTACAAAGTAACAAAATTTAATGGATGATATTGATTAATTAAGTTTGAGAAAATTATAATTTATAGAAAATTATCCACAATATTTTATACTTGACATTTTACAATTGATATATTTTCGTAGTAAAATATTCGCTATTATATATTTTAAAAAGCGAATTCTGTTTTCCTTTAACAACTACGTTGTCAAAACCGGAAATTTCCTTATCTTTCACGATGCTCGTTGAAGAAGGAACACAAAAATGAGAATAAAGATAGAGATAAGCGAAATTTTTATGATTTATGATGGTGAATAGCGAGTGAAACAACGAAAAAATATAGGATAAAATAAAAAGAATTAAAGATGAAACTTTTAAGAAAATATTCGTGACATTAGATAGTCGATAAAAAGAATCAGAATAAATAGAAAAATATAAAATATTAAATAATGATTAAATTTTCGTTCAATCGATAAATAATCACGATAAATTATTAGAATATAGCCATATAATCAATTCTACTCATGTCCATATAAATAGAATAAATCGACCACAGTAAAACACTTTCATTATAATCAGACAGCCACTGTGAGATAAATAGAACAAATCAGTGGCGTTTAAACGAATGATTAATTTTTAAAATTCTCTCTACTGTGAAATTAATATTCCACAGTATTTTTAGATTTAATAAATCAACTTCGTTGTTCATACATTTTTTTATTTTCTTAACTCTTTTAAGACTCTCCTCAATTATCAAAGAAACTACTAGATAAAAAATAAATTCTCGATAAATAAAATACAGACAGAACAAAATGAAACTAATATCCAATTTTATTCATCTGTTGATGCTAAAATTACTGCTCAAGTGTTTCGGAAGTAATAGCAACCGACAACCCGATAGTAATTTTATCAGATGCAACTCGACGCGTTTACGGACCCGCTTTAATGCTTCCGCCATTGTTATAATCGATACACGCGGATACGTATATACCCGGGCTCGTACGTATAATCCTACGTGTATTTCGATGCACACGTGTGTGCACACGCAAAGTGGCAGTCTGCGGACGAGAGGACAAATTGATCGGTATTATTCTCGGTTCCCTTTCCAACTTTTCAGCGTGGAAACGGCGACCATAAAGGAACAAGGGGTGGAAAAAACGGGGAGAGAGGGGGGAAAAAAGAGGAAACAAGGGAGGAAAATTTCTGTCGAAAATTTCGATTCCAGCGAAGGAAAAAAAAAAAAAAAAAAGAAAAGAAAAAAAGAACGCGTTTCCGTTTAATTCGGTAGAAAATATCCTGGATCTCGTCGTTTCGATTTTAATCCGCTTGAAATCGAGCAGCAGGCTGTTCCAAGCCTTGGTATTCCGTGCAAGATGTAATTAACCGTGATACTTTGCACACGATTTACTATCGAGGCCGATACCAACGCGATTTCCACGGTCTCTTTCACGGTTTTACATAATCGTTCCTCGTATTTTAGAGACGATCTCTCCAAGAGAGATTTTCATTGATCGTACTTAGGAATATATTCCGATGCGATTAAACCCTCTTTTATTATCGCATATGATATTTTTTCAAGATATTTGGTTTACTTTTTTTTCTATCGTGATTATTATAATTTAATGAAATGGCAAGATTAAAACGATTAATAAATCATGAAAAGAATCTTATCAATTCGATTGTTGTACGTTTAATAGAAAACTATAAATTATCAAACGCACAGAATATTTTTATCGTAATGAACTCTCACAATAAATAATACAAACGAGTATAATTATCTCTTCTGTTGTTGTCGCTTGTATAAATCACATTTTTTTTTTTAAATTTACCGTTTCAGTCTCCATAATTTTGCTTTATAATCAACTCCATAAAAGAATTCCCGTAGAAATTATATTAATTATGACGAGGAACGAACAAAGGAACGATACGGCCGATGAATAATCAAGTATAAACAAAATAGCGTACGAAAATCAAACTGAAATCTCGATTACCATTTCCCATTTTATTCCACGCGTTTCAATGGAATTTTTTGAGAGAGAGGTTATCGGCGGTTACTTCAAAAGCACGCGGACGACGTGACCGCAGGTTCGCGCCACGATAAAGGATTAAATGCAAAGTTTACGGGGCACGGGAGCGTGAGCCTGGCCAAGATTTAATTAATCGGTAGCGTTTCAGCCGTATTTGAAATCGCGGCCCGTAACAGTTAATCGTTGGTGGCTTCGACATACGAGAAGGGAAACGAGTTACCATTGAAATTTACGACACTGTAATTTCACTCAATGCTACCTCGTTTGATATCTCGCGATACTGTTACTGGCGTTCTTGAAAAATGGTAATTCCCATGGTTAAACAATTTTCGGATTCGATTTCTTTTTTCGACATTCTGAGAGAAGATAAATCGATTTAAAAAATTGGGAAAATTTTGATAAAATGATATTGGATTATTTAATTTAATTCAATAAACTGCGGGAATTTTCATGTCGAAAGTGAATCCAAGAAGTTTCAAATGTATTCTTTACTCTTTTTTGTGCAGATTTCTATTGAAACTTTTCTTCTTTTGGAAAACCATATATATTAAAGAAATTTTCATTGTTAATAAAGGAATTCAGATAAGAGAAAATTTCAACGGCATAGATAATTTTTTATTATGGTGAGGGATTTATTTGTCAAAATGCGTCATAAGTAAAATGGTTTACGTAGAAACTGATATTCATTCCTACATTATATACAATTATATATGCATGGCACGAGAAAAATTGGAATATTGATTTTATGAACATTTTGATAAGAAATGGAAACAATTTTAAATAACCTAATTTTAAAGTGGGTAATTTAATTACTTTTGTCCTTAATTGTCGAGGACACAGTAAAATATATATAGATGACGATTTAAATCGAGAATCTTGATATCTTTGTACGAATCTATCGATTACTTCTTAAAAGTTCATTTAATATATCAACGTGTTCATCAACCGATTTCGAACTTTCGTTAATGCTGACAGATTTCTTGTAAATTTCTACCGTTATTTTAATTTTATATTTATCTCGGGATAAAATATCCCATGCATCGTCCAATCCTTTAACGCATCATTTAATAACATTTTCCAATTAACATTTACCTGCAAATCGACCCTGGTCTCGCACAGGTCGCCGGTGTATCCGAGGGGGCAGAGACATACAGCCGTGTCGCCTCCGGTAGTCAAGCATTTCCCGCCATGGGAACATGGTACCTTGCTGCATCTGTCCGCCGTGCATTCCTCTGAAACGACAATAAATCAGACGGATCAATGGAGCACGCGATCAGCTCTGTCAACGTGGATGATACGACAAACGTATGGAATCACGTACAGCGAGAAATCTTTCGATAAAAATCGACGTGGATGCGGCCTCGGCCTGCATTATTACGCGCGATCGAAAAATATCGGGAGGGGGGAGATGGAGGAAGGAGGGGTTCTGGTCTTCGGCTTCGTGTATCCGACAGTCGACCGACAGTATCGTCGGTGTAAATATTTGACGAAAATACGGAGGCTCTCCTTTTCTGCTCTCTTCGTTCCGCGCGTATCGACGCCGGTGAGGAGCCGGAAACCGGTGAGATGTCTGCGAAATTATCTTCCGCCGCGCTCGTTCGACTCTATCGGAAATTTCAGACGAATGAAAAGCGTTTTTCTTTTTCCATCTTTTTTCCCCTTTTCCTCCTCTTCCCCTGTTCTCCTTCTCTTTTGTTTTCTTTTCCCTATCGGGAGACTTGGGATTGGGTCGCGAAGACTTTCGAGAAAATCGATCGCCACTACGCGGTTGTCGATTTCTCGAGCGGAGAAATATCGACGTGGTATATTAATCGTGGACGCGTTTGTTGCGCTTCTGTTCCCTCGAGTCGAGTGACGCAATTTAGATATGAATAAATAAAGCGCGAATATGGGAACGCATGGAATATTTTATGGAGGTGAACGCAAAATGTAGGACCTTTGTTTGTTGAAATTCGATGTGAGGAATAATTGAAGAAGAAATTTTATAGGCAATTGTAAAGTTCGATGCTTTATACTTGCCATATTGAAATTACTTAGAGAATCCTCACGAGGAACGATCTTTTTCGAAATTGAAAATTTTCTAAATCCACGTGATCTGCAACAACAAGTTAAAGTTATATATATTCCATTTCTACGTGTTTCTCGAAATAATCTCCGATTTTCCAGGAATTAAAGTTACGTTTCTGGTCTTAAAGTTGTCTCCTCTTCAATTCGTTCCACCTTAAGATGGCGGGATCGATATGAACCGAACGAGAGAGAGAGAGAGAGAGAGAAAGAGAGCCGCGGTCCTCGAACCGTCTTTCGAAGGCTACTTCCTGCTCCATTCTTTATATCGGGTCGTCAACTCACGCGAATCCCTCGTGAATCTGGTTTAAATCGAGATCGACCGAGAATTCTTCGATAGACTTTACTCTTTCTCCCCGTTTCCCTTTTGTTCTTTCCGCTTAATAACGGGAACTGACAACTTCCTCGACGAGTTTTCTCTTTTGTTCTTCTGATGGTGAATGCGTGGTATTCGTAACTATCGATAACGGAAATGACAAAACGGTATAGATGGCGTGGAGGAAAATTTCGTTCTGGTTCTATGTCTTTTCTTCGTTTGTTACATAATATTGATTGTTTTATTTTTTCTTCGATAAATGATATCGTTGTTCTTTTTTTTTTTTTTGATATTTAATATGTAGATATTAAATTAATTTGAAAATAGAAAAGATAGATACGATGTTTTCTGGAATTGTTGAAAATTTTGAGAAAAGTACTATTCATTTTTTATTAATATAGATACATGATTCATTTATTGATTCAATAGTATACAGATCACGTACGAAGATTGCCAAAGAATTTCCATGTTCGTTAATGCTATGTGTTTATTTTCATTTTAGATTTTAGTTCGTTTATTGTTATCTCTCTTGTTATCTCTCAAAGCAAATTAGATTTATATTATCATGAATTTTTTCCTATTCAGTTATCTAGGATACGATGATTTGAGTTACTTTTATTTTCTCTCTCTCTCTCTCTTTCTCTCTCCTAAAAGAATTTTTTTTTATCTCGGTTACAAGTTTGTTTAATAACATCTAGGTACTTTCACGTCGAGGATTTCCTGAAGAAAAGGGGGAGGGGAAAGAGGAATTGTTCGGAGGAACTTCTCAAACTCGGTGACTCGAGATCAATGATGCGATACCATGAAAACGGTAAAAGGTATACATTCGAAAAATTGCAGTGAAGAGGGGAATTTCTTTGTCAAAGAAACGAGTTGCCTCGATGAATACGTAACGGTACTACAAGGAAAAAGCGGTCGCCATAATGAAGGGAACGTTTTTCGGAAGAGAGAGTTATTTTTCCCGAATAAATATCTCGCATTTAACAATGTCGAATTTTCGTTTGTCCTTTAAAAATATTTTAAGCATTTCGTTTTTATGTATTGAATTGTTATCAACGTTAAAAAAAGTCCTTTGATGAAGATTTCCTTTCATGAATTTTTTCCTTTCTATTTTTTAATCGTTGGATGTGAAAACTAATATTAAAAAAAAAGAAAGAAATAAATCTATCAATTCACTATTATTTATACATTTTTTAAAAAATGATTGGAATTTTTTTTTTATTAGATTTTATATTCTAATATTAGATACTAAATTTTTATCGACCATCAACCAAAGAACAAAATTTTTCAAATATTTATTCCGAATAACTGAAATTTTTTTCTTTTCTATCAAATCAGATATATTCTAAATCGATAGATATACATCTATTGAAAATGGATATGTTTCTAAAATTTTTCAATCTTTCTGTGCAAAGCCATATCAAATTAATAGATAGATATCTATTGAAAATGGATACGATCCTTTTTCTATCTTTTTTTTTTATCTTTTTTTATCTTTTTTCATCTTTTTTTTTGTACCAAAACCATACCACAGATGTTGCAACTTTTCTATGTTGCAATTTTTCTATCTGTTACCCCTTTTGTTTAATCATCCTCGGATTAAAAACGAAACAAAACAAACCATATCATATAACTGATGAACCGTTCTCCATTCAGATTCCAGTTTCTCGTTCAGATAAATAAATCGAAACAGAATCATATACAGACTGGTGTATCAGAAATTTCAGAATGAAATTCTACGAAACTATTTCCTTATTCTTCGTTTCTTTTATCTACTCTCACCGTTTAAAATTTCACGAGTATTTCTTCCATTCTCCACGATAACTTATTGCGTTTACGTTTCGAACTTCATTCGTTTATACTTACTAATGCATAAGGAGTTTTCTCAAGGATGGAGGCAAGAAGAGAAAAAGAAAGAGAGAAGGAAAAATGAACGAAAAAAGAGGGTGAAAACGAGAATAACGCCTCGTAAATTGGGAAACTTCGATTTGCACGATTTCTATCGTTTCTCGACCGAATAATCTCGATTCCTCATCTTTCTACTTATCCCTAAAAATCGTCTAACTCATTCATTGTTATCTATCGAATCGTTCCCCTTTATCATTTCTTGAATTATATTTCGGTGTGTAGGCAATTCGATCAAGGAAATGAAGTTTATATCAAAGAAACTTTTGTTCTTTCGTGAACAGAAGATCATCTTTATGGGATTGAAATATCGTATTGGAACTTTATATTTTTACTATATTATCGATCTTTGGTCGTTTCCATGACGACAAGTTTTTTTTTATATATTTTTACAAACTCTGATTTACCATCTTAAATGGCGCTCGTTTCATTTTCATTCTAGAAAATCTTGTTTTTCTTCGCTGAATTTCTTCGTTACATTTCTTATTGTTATGTTGAAATTTCTATTATGCAGAGAAGGATGAATGTATTAATTATAGATCATTCGATTTTATATTATTCGAAATAATATAATCTGTTATTTTACGTGATTGACAAAAAAACAAACAACAAAACAAACAAATATTGTATAAAATTAATATTATCATCGATTCTAAATATAAAAGTGTTTCGTTTGATTACAATAATTGTACTATTTAAAAAAAAATCAATTTCGAATTCCATTAATCACTGAAAAAAATAAAATCATTGTAGATTCTTTTAATTTGACGATATAAATTATATAAATCTATTCTAATACAAAATATCACAATTAAATTATTATCAAAAATAACCAAGTATATCTAGGCAGAGCGTGCAAAGAGAATAGAATTAAATATTCAGTCTTTGCCTCTAACAGAGCAGATACGATAATCATCAATTAATTATTCTCTCATGACGATGTACTCTCGTATAATTCAGGCTCATATCACACGTGATAAAAACGATGGCGGTGACAGGTCATTTATGGCCCTCGTTGTCGAAGGAATCTCGATACCGCGGTGGATAATTGATTAACACTTGATAATTAACGCGTAGCTCTCGATTTACATCACCATTCCCTCGATTCTGGATTCTCTCTCTCTCTCTCTCTCTCGATTTTCGTCGTTAACTTAATTAAGAAACAGAAAACACATTCTTGGCATTGGAATTTCATTCAAACGAATTCTCTGCGATTTTCTCCGATGTTACGTTAATTAATGATCTCCAACGAACGAAGAAATTCGATCATTTATTCCTCGATGTTTGTCGTGATTTATGAATTAAATTTGGAGCAATCGAATTTTTTAAATGAATTAAAAATGAGATACATTTTAATTTATTTTAATTTATCAGATGAATAGAGAATTGATGATAAAAGTATAGAGAGTGAATAAATATGAATAAAAATATATATCATATGAATCAGTAGTTCAATCAATTTAGTCAGACACTCGTTTGATGAATCAAACTAGCCTCGTTTAAGATTATAAATAAACAAATAAATTGAAATCACTTTATCAATATCATTTTTTATTTTAATTTAAAATATGTTTTGAAAAATACGATCCTATTTGTTTCTTCAATTCAAATAATTTAAATTCATTGATACTATGGTAAAGTTTCACAGAATTATAAAGAATTATATTTATTGATTTTGGATAGTTAGTATAATTAATGTAGAATTTTAGAAATATCACTGATTCCGAGATATAGAAGAATTTTAACGTTTAATTGGATCTGCAATAAGATTTAATATATATCGATTCGAGCTCCATAGAATTTAATACCTTTGGGATATGATTCAGTTGATTTCGAGTCTAATGAAACCCAATACTCTCAACTTTGAATCCACCTCTACTACTTCTAAAACTCGTTAATATCGTATCTCTAATTTAGTATCGAAATAATATTGTGTTGCACAATCAGAAATTGTCCATATCGATTCGCGTTTAATCGGATCTCTATTTAATTATTTATTAATCAACTCGTTTCATTTCACAAGAATATTTTATAATTCATGATTCGTCTAAATGTATACCCGTTTTTTCGCTTTCTTCAAAAATTCAATTGCTATTGATATTTAGGAAAAAAAAAAAAAAGAAAAAAAAGAAATGAACGAGGGAAGAATATATTTTCCACTAAATCAGAGGATCCTATACGGCGTGCGTTGGAGGATTTTCTAACTAAATTCATATGACACCTGTTGTGTGTTCGCCGATATAGGGGTTAATTCGAGCACCCGATATCGTGCGGCTCTTTTCATCCAAACAAAATGTAACTTCAGCGTTCCTAATTATGGATTGTGGTATTTTATCGTTATGATTATTACTCGAATTACGAATGACCGCGAATCAATATGATAAAGTAATTTTATCTTGTCACGTTTTATATTTTATACGTTACATCATTGATTCCTGACCAATGTGTCGAGAGAATATTAAATATCGGAGAGAATTTTGTTAAAATTTTACCGAATACGAAATATTTAATATATTTATAAAAAAAAGAGAGAAAAATTTACTAAAATATACTATAAAAATCTTCAATAAAATCTTAATTCTCTCTCTTGAATCTTACAAACGAAAACTTAAGAAATTAAAATTAATAATAGATATACAATATTAAAACGAAGAGAAATTATAATAAAATTTTCCATAAAACGTTTCTCTCAAATAATTATCTTATAAAAATATATATAATAGTTATCTTTATTAAAATATTTATAAAAACAATTAATTGGAATAAGTAATGATTAAGATTTTCAATAAGAAATTCACCAATCATGTTTCTTCAACTAGACACACGAGAAATAAAGTATAAAAGAAGTATAAAAGAATATTTTCCACAGCAAGAGTGTTCACAAAACGAATGGAGAAAACGATTTGCTTTGATATCATCCTCAAGAATCCTCTCTCCCTTTGATTCGTTTTTCAACGACACCCCACATTCCAAGGTTTGCAAGGAATCTAAACCAGTGGACCACTGGTCCACGACCAAAAAATGGTCCCGAGGAATTTGATCCTTTGATGCATTCTGCACTATCCTCGTTCGAGGATAGAGACGTGGAGGAGAGGAGAGGTGGTCGAACTTTATCGGCCTCTTGGAAACCTAGAAACGCTCTTACAACTTATCTTCTATGAGATTACATTTTCAAGAGATTACGCGTATTTCCTTGAAGGGGTTCAATGGAGATTTGACAGTCGATAGACCGGCTCTCACACCGTTTCGACGCGAATCGAGATAAGAAAACGTGGAAAGTTTAATCGACGTTTTTCGTCTTGACCAATGGTTTTTCTTGTGTTAAGAATCTTTGAATACTTTTGTGAGTTGAAGTGTGAGAAAAAAAGGGTTTATTTTATCGTTTTTTTGATCAAGTTTTTATAAACCACCAGATATTTTTGGATCAGAGTTTTCATGCATTTTTCATGTTTGTGACACGTAATTAAAGTGTGTTACTTTACTCTTAAAAAGAGAAAAAATTAAAATCTCATTGCACAAAAGCTACTGTTTCGAACAAAAGTTTAGAGAAGAACCCGGATTTCCCTTGTAGCTGTAAATTTGTTTCTCTTCAACAAAGAACAAGCATTGCTTTTAACATTCACTTCAAAATGAGAAATTTTCTTTTTCAAAATTTACTTTTTCCTTGATATATCAAGTATAATAATATAATAACAAGTTTCAGTTTCTTAAAACTTCATACAAAAATCCTTCTATCCTTTTTTTTTTATTATAAAACAAAAAATTTTAAATCAATTTCCAAAATTCATTTTCTATTTCATCACATCGAATATAAATACAAAAATAATCAAGTTTCTATTCTACTCCCAAAATGTCTATACATCTACAATTAAAAATTCAAATTATTTTCAAATTCTTCTTCTACATTTATTTGTCACAATCATTACAGTGATCAAATATACGAGTACACGAAATAATAATCAAAATTCACTTCTCTCCTCCCTTTACTCAAATTTATTCAAATTTAATAATTTAATAATTTAATTGAAAGTATCATCACAATTAATTTCGACACATTTCTTTCAGATCCGGAAAAAAATTCAATCAATTGTACTCACCAACGTCGAAACCGTTCGCAGCATCCCCTTGTGGCGCGAGAGGGAAGCGATAACGGTGTTCATTGGCTTCCAGATGCCGGACGCAACCCTTAAATCCGGTCCTCACCGGAAGTCGCTCGAGGCCGGTTGTGTTTCCAGGTCCACCGACGAACAATGGCTCGCGGAAGGTAATTCTCGCAAACAAGCCCTGCAATCAAACCCAGAACGGCCTGGTTCACGCATCTGTGGAAAATCATTGTATAATTCGTGTTTTTTTCTACCAAAAAAAAGAAAAAAAAAGGACCTTTATCCATTTTCTGTGTTCGCACCGAGTTTCGAATACGGTCTTCTTTTCTTTTCTCTTTCTTTTTTCTTTTTCTTTCTCTTCTTCTTTTTCTTTCCTCTTTTTCAGTCTGATCCTCGCAACGAAATTTTTCACCTCTTTGAGGTTAGAGCGGTCTTTCGGGAAGATTATTTGTTGAAAGCTGAGAGAGTTTTCGGAAAATTTTGGGGATTTGGTGAGGAATTTAAGGAGTGTTTCCTTTTTTCTTTGATATTGTTTTGTTTTATTATTTCATTATTTTGCATTTAAGTATCTTTGAGAATAATACGTAATAATTACTAGCAAAAATTTTAGATTTCTTTCTTGTGCAATTAGTGAATAAATTTCTTCTCGACGAATATAAATCTAGTAAAATGTCTATTGTTGCGATATTAATTCATTTTTCGCAAGTAATATATATACGAAAATATTTTTCCTAATTTTTCTTAATAATAAATTCTATGTATCATCATGCAGTTATGTAGGTATGTATTCTATTCACCAAGATATACCAGTTTCCAACGTTGTATCCCGTAGTTGTTCTTGTAGATAGGGAAATTATTTCACAGGAACAAGTAATTACGAAGGAATTCGATTCTGGCGAGACGCGTGTTAATATTGATGGAAAGAGAAGCATTCGACTTCGTGATAGCTCGACGAGTTTCGTAGTTACATTTCACATTGGTTAAATTCGCCTTTCTATGCACGTTACATCTTTCTGGCAAATCGAGTGTGCTTGACGCGATGAATAAAATTGATTTGGCACACTTCTTGCGCATTTCAATGAATCGACCAATTGTCCCTATTCGCCTGAATTTTCAAACAGTTGGAAATTTTGTAAAATTAAACTCTGTGAAACGTCGTTAAATTTGGGGGATTCGGCGCGGAATATAAAATTAAACCGATTCATGGATGGAAAAATTTCAATTCTCGTTAGTTTCGAACGAATTTGAGAATAATATTTTAAAAATAATAAATAAATAAACGCTTAAATTTAAAAGATTCACTAAAGGTGACGTAATTAATGATTGAATTGACAACTTGTACAGATGATTAATTACGATACACTCGTTTTAAAGATTTATTTAAAAACTCTCTCAAAAGAGAGTTTCCTTCCTTCTTTTTAAACAAATTATTTTGACAAAAGAAGAATCTCTATCTCAGAAAGTTTTGTTCTTCTTTCTATATTCCTTTGTTCAAAAAATTTCTTTCTTTCTTCTTAAAAATCTTCTTTTGTTCACTAAACAAAAAATATCTTCCCTACATTTTTTTTCTTTTAAGATACAAAGATATATTTCATCTTCCAAAAAAATTATATTTCCATAAAAAAAAGAAAAAAAGAAAGAAAGAAAAGACAAGGAAAGAAAAGCAAAATATTAATTCCACAAAAAAGATTTTCAAAGGGGAGACACTCTTTTCATAAAAAATCCTCCTCTCCTCTCTCAAAAATTCTACTACTTTGCCCAAATCCTGGAATCCCTTCGTATATAAACTCCCCTATCCAAACATCTTAACGCTCACTCTCAACGCTCTCGAAAGTCGCACAATTGCCGCGATTCACGATACTCCTCTCGAGGATGGTATCACCCAAAATGGCACTCGTTCCTACACGGTTCCTAAAAAGTAACCACGTATAATGCGTAACATCCAAAAGGTACGAGAACATCTCAACCAAGCATCGACACGATAGGTGTTGCAACGCGTTAGCAGCAATTTACGTGGATTATGCATCCAATGTAGCCCATATTTGCTTAACCACCCCGCGTCTGAATATATCTGCCGAGAGTTCTTGTATTTTCATCCCTCCTTATGCGGGTGTTGCGCGTATCTCTGTGTACGTAATATCGTAATACACAAGCAAAGGGAGGAGTTAGAGGTGGATGTACACATGTACAAATCTTAGCCCTCAGCCTTCAAGTTAATGCACTTGCAGAAGTCTCGAAAGTTTTGGGAGAACTTTAAGGGGCTGGGAATCATCTGTAAGATCGTTTAAAAGGTTTTTCTACTAAGGTTGGAGAAAACTCGTGGAAAGACCTATCGACTGATACGATAGCGTGAAAAAGAAGTTTTGATCGAATCTTTTGTTTCGAGATCAAGGGTATTTTTTCCAATTAAAATTTTTGAGATAGATAGCCTTTTTCTAGTTTCGATTTTTGATTTGAATTAGGAGGAAAATCGAGGAATTGCTTGATATATTTTTGAGAAGGAGGGTTTATTTTTTCGAGTGCAAAATTTCGAGTCGATTTGGAATAAATTTCTTTTTATTTGAAATTTTGAGTTTCGATGTAACTTAATAAATTATTGATTGGAATAATTATTCTATGTGAGAAAATAGATAGAAAGATAATCATTCGAAAAAGAGTGACACATCGAAAAAAATAAATTTGAAAATTCATCTAATAGACATGTATTTAAATTCGATTATCTAGCAAATTCTTGATTTATTTTTACACGTAGAATGGCACATTTTTTTGATTGTATACCAATTATAGAAGCTTGTAGTTATAGGAATTTTATTAGAAATTCTAGTGTAGATCAAAGAGGTAGCATCGATGAAATATTCAACTTCTTTTTTGAATATTTATTAAATTCAATCTCTATCCTGTCATCACGATTAATTAATAACCGAATGTATAAGATCGAATACATTCGATTAAAATGAATTCGAGTATTTATTAATAACGTTTATTAACAAATTTTTTTTTCCTCATTAATAATTCTGGCAAAATTTACATTCTCATTTTTCAATAGCGAATCACGTACCGAATTTAATTAATCATTTTTTCTAGGGGATAAAATTCAAAGATAAAATTTCTACCCTGTTAAATCCGAGCTAATTATATCTTTTAATTTATATCTCGTTTCGAAATCGTATCGTTCAGATTAAATTATCTTTCACTTCACGTGTCTTTAATACACGATCGAGACAAAAATCGAAGAGGATATTGATTTTTCGTGCAAAACTAGAAAAAAATATAAAACGATGAAAAATGTAACAAGATTCAAAATGGCTGTGCATACTAACGACGACATTTATACGGATACTCTCGGGCAAAACGAAAATCGGTCATACGGAGAATTCTTTTTTATTTTTCACGTTCCTTGGAAAAGTTCATATCGCGTACATCAATCGCCATAAAATAGGAAATATCCACGATGCACATATGTTGCACGAATCTCGAATGCATTAAACAAAGAGGCAACTGTCGAAACATTTGGAAAAAAAAAAAAGAAATGGAGGAAGCTGCGATAAATTCTGTTTTTTATCACGAGTTTTTTTACCAGAGAGTTTACCAATGCTTGTTTTAATTGAAATGAATCCTTGGATTTTTCTTTCGTAACACAGCCTGTAATGATAACTTGTAATTGACTTTCGACTTTTAATTTCGTCCGATCCCTGTTCTACTTCGAAACTTTTTCGCTAACTTCGATTTTTCGGAACCGAATCTCTTCTTTTTCTTCTAAAAAAAAACGGACTAAGCTTGTTAAATGGATAAAAGTTTCAACCATGCTCCATTTGTTTAGATATCTCTCTAGATTAGTTTATTTCGAGTTTTAATTAAGAGATATATAAATAGTTTTTAAATGTCAAATTCTGTACATATTTTCTCTAATTGTAAAAATCAAAAATAAGATAATGGAGTTAATTATCTTCAACGATTCTCAAAAAAAAAAAAAAAAAAGAAAAATGCACTGACATTAACAAATAATAAAATCACAGAGAATTAAATACAAAAGCTTCCTTCAATTACTTTTCCCATTAACTATGAAACCATAATCCTGACTTCCAAACTTTCTAGAACAGATCATTCCTCGTTACATTCCTGATATATACCATAAAATGAAAAATCTACTAAAAAAAAAAAAAGAAAGAAAAAAGATTTTCGACCCGTGTTTAAACTCGTTCGAAAAAAGTGACGAATCTTTTCAATGCGACACGAGATGGACTGGGTTACGATGCCGCCATTACGAAAATAAGAAGTCGCGAGAAAAGAGTGGGATGAAATCTCGCTTATTGACGCGCAATGAAAGCGAAACGGGCCACGATTAACATCGAGCCACGAGAAATGCACACGCGTATCAGAGCAAATGAGATTCCCAACCACGGTGAAAGGATACCCTCTTTCAGAAACGCTGGTTTAACCGGAGGAGGATTCCTCTTTGATGTTCCCCTCGCCGAAAGTTCGGTCGGCAAAATTCATTTCCGAAAACGCGTGATTCTCTTTTTGCGTCTTCGCTTCCCCTTTTCAAAAAAGGCGCAGTAAATACGGTTTACGCCGGAAATACGGTTTCTCTCGCCGTTCTTATTAACAATCCTGGCCAATTTCATTGTTTCGCGCGAGAGGATCCGTTTTTTTGGGGGAGGAAACGCGATCAACGGCGCTCTTCCTCTCCTCTTCCTCCCGTTTTATTGTATCGATCACGCGATGAAAAGGGAAATTCTGTTAATAATCGGGCGAAATATTCATATTTTTTTTTTCGCGCAAATCTGATAAATCTTTCGTATTGTTCGACACGAAGCTTTAAAAAGATAAAGCAGCGTTCTAAAAATTATATTTTTGAGATGGATATTTCTATCCATCTTTGGAAATGTGGTTTGGATAATTCTGTCTAATGAGCCAATTTCCCCATTTAATTAGAAATTCGAAGCAAATTGTACGAGACTTCCATCCGATATCAAGCTTCAAGATTCAAAATTAATTTTCAACCCTATCATTTACACTTCTCTACAAGCTGCTTCAACTTGGATTATACTATCCTTTTTTTCTTCACCTTTCCATAGGTGACTCCAATTCACCGTTTGATTTTTATCCATCCAATATCATCGATCACGTATTTCCTCCTCTCCAAAGAATTCTTCGCCAGGAGGGAGGAAAGTTGCAGAA